AACGAAACAACTTCACATCCATCGCCACCTCAACCGCCACGTCATTATTACCTCAGGGCTCCATTGTTGATCTGAGCCATAACTCAATCTCCGGAGAGTTACCTCCCGCGCTCGTCGGAGCAGAGGCTCTGTTCTTGAACAATAACCGTCTCACAGGAGACATTCCAGAGGAATACGTCAAGAGCTTAGTCAACGGTACAACAAAACAGCTCTTCTTGCAACATAACTACTTCACGAGATTCCCTTGGAACTCTGGTCTCCAACTACCAGACTCTGTTTCGCTCTGTTTGTCATATAACTGTATGGAGACAGATCCAGTCGTTGGTTTGTCCACGTGTCCGATCGAAGTTGCACCTCTGCTCTCAAGACCTGCTTCACAATGTTCAAGATTCTATAATCACAGCTCCACTGGCTAAAAGATTAGTTTTTGTTTGTTTTTTTTCTCAAAGAAATTTGCAAAAAATGACAAGTTTTTTATAAGCGTTATCGACAAAACAAAACTATGACATTTTTAGAAATTGAACCGTTGTGTCTCCTAGTGTTTTCTTAAAAAAATCAAAAGTTCAAAAAAGATCTGTAAGAGTGTGGTCCTCACTCCTCACATGTAAATTAGATTGTAGTGTTTATGGAATATATAATTTATAGATTGGTCCTTTTCTCTATTTTTTTTCCCATTTCATTATTGAGAAATATATATATATATATGCCATTTTGATATGAAGGAAATAAACAACACACCATTGGTTTTCTATATCTCTCCTTATCTTCAAATTGTCATTATCTTTTAATAAAAAGAGGTGCAAACTTTTTATTCACTTTGTGGTCTGGAGAGCACTCAAAATACTGTTTATATAAAATGATTGAAGATATTTAGATCCAAGCACGTTGGATAGGGATATGAGTTAATTAAGAAATTAGAAAGCCTAATGGTGTTGATTTAGTAAAAACATTAACAACTTAAATGCCAGATAATTAGCTGTTAACAGACATACCGACAAAGAATTTTAAGTAATAAAGTAGCATAAAGCTATCTGATTTGTCAGAATGTAAAAAACGAGTCCAAGTTGACTCCTTCGAGCTTTGATTCTCGTTCCAATAATACTTCCTCCACCATCTCTCCTCCTCTCTTAGATCTAAGAAACAGAGAAAACAAGAGAGAAAGAATGAGAAAGGGAGTTCTAACTCCTGACAGAGATCGTCAGATTATGGAACATGAGTTGCAGGAAACTGGTTTTAGTCCAGAATCAGAGAAAGTCAAGAACAAGAATTTTGAAGAAGATGAAGAAGAAGAGGATGAATCTGTGGAGAAGATCTTTGAGAGTAGAGAAGTACCTTCGTGGACGAAGCAGTTGACGTTGAGGGCTTTTGTGGTGAGCTTTATGCTTAGCATCTTGTTTAGCTTCATTGTTATGAAGCTTAACCTCACAACGGGAATCATACCGTCGCTCAATGTCTCTGCTGGTCTTCTGGGTTTCTTCTTTGTCAAGACATGGACCAAGATGCTCCATAGGTCTGGTCTCTTGAAACAGCCATTTACTCGCCAGGAGAATACTGTAATTCAGACCTGTGTTGTTGCTTCTTCTGGCATTGCTTTCAGCGGTAAAGAAAACTCATCTTCACATTGAACCAGATAATTGAGTTAGAAATTGATTGTATCATGCCATAGTTTTGCTTGTGTGTGTTTTGTGATATTCTGATATAAAAGTACAAATCCTTTTGTGTCTTTTGTACTCATCACTCACCTGCTTTCTCTCTCCTCCTTCTAGTTAGTTATGTTAAGGTTTTTGCTTAATAATAAATGCATCTACTTGGGCATATGAAAATATACAGGAGGGTTTGGGACATACCTCTTTGGCATGAGTGAAAGAATTGCGACCCAATCAGGAGATGTTTCTCGTGGCGTCAAGGACCCTTCTTTGGGTTGGATTATCGGTTTCCTCTTTGTTGTCAGCTTTCTTGGCCTCTTCTCAGTTGTTCCCCTTAGAAAGGTTGGTCACAGTTTTTGTTTCCTGCTTTCTCTCTTGTGAACCAAAAAGGAACAATGAGTTTATGAGATCTTGCATTGCCAATTTCTTTGTTTTGCAGATAATGGTAATAGACTTCAAACTAACATACCCAAGTGGCACTGCAACAGCTCATCTTATCAACAGCTTTCACACCCCTCAAGGCGCCAAGCTAGCCAAGTACTAACCTTTCACTTTACTTTATGCGCTTTTAAGTCTTGAGTTCTCTGCTTCCTTTTGACTCGATGCTGCTCTCTGCATCAGGAAACAAGTGAGGGTGTTAGGGAAATTTTTCTCTTTTAGCTTCTTCTGGAGTTTCTTCCAATGGTTCTTTACCGGAGGAGAAAATTGTGGGTTCTCCAACTTCCCAACATTTGGACTCAAAGCTTACCAGTACAAGTAAGCTCAATAAACAATATATGTAACTTGAAATTATAGAGCATTGGGTTGAACCACAATCTGGCTTATTGTTTTGTCAGTAATACCAATGCTCGTTCCTTTCTGGTGAGAGCCTGATGTACAAACAGGTTCTACTTTGATTTTTCAGCAACATATGTTGGTGTTGGAATGATATGTCCCTATATAATCAACATCTCTGTCCTATTGGGAGGAATCCTCTCTTGGGGGATAATGTGGCCCCTCATTGAAACCAAAAAGGGAGATTGGTTCCCTGATAATGTCCCATCCAGCAGCATGCATGGTCTCCAAGCTTACAAGGTAACTAAATTCTCCATAGGATTCATCTGTTAATTCTCTTTATGGACCACCCTTCTGCTTCAAGTTAATCTCTCTGTACTGGACCATCTTTTTCTTTTTCTTCCAGGTGTTTATAGCTGTTGCTATAATCCTAGGAGATGGCTTATACAACTTTTGCAAGGTGCTGAGCCGGACTCTTTCAGGACTATTTGTACAGCTCCGAGGCCCTACTACATCTATTTCAAGAACCTCCTTCACACTTGAAGAAGACCCTCATGCTTCCCCATTAAGCCCAAAGCAATCTTATGATGACCAACGTCGTACAAGATTCTTCCTCAAAGACCAAATCCCTACTTGGTTTGCTGTTGGAGGTTATATCACAATAGCTGCAACATCTACAGCGATACTCCCTCACATGTTCCACCAGCTGAGATGGTATTACATTCTGGTTATCTATATCTGTGCGCCTGTCTTGGCTTTCTGCAACGCTTATGGAGCTGGACTCACAGACTGGTCCTTGGCTTCAACGTATGGAAAGCTTGCCATATTCACAATTGGGGCTTGGGCTGGCTCTGAGCACGGTGGTATGCTGGCTGGTCTGGCAGCATGTGGTGTCATGATGAACATAGTCTCGACGGCTTCGGATCTGACACAAGACTTCAAGACAGGTTACCTCACTTTATCATCTCCAAAGTCAATGTTTGTGAGCCAAGTGATTGGAACAGCGATGGGTTGTGTGGTATCTCCTTGCGTGTTCTGGCTATTCTACAAAGCGTTTGATGATTTAGGCCTCCCAAACACTGAATACCCTGCTCCATTTGCTACCGTATATCGAAGTATGGCTAAACTAGGAGTGGAAGGTGTCGCATCTCTACCGAGAGAATGTCTCGTTCTATGCTACGCGTTCTTCGGTGTGGCGATTCTAGTAAACATAGTAAAAGATAGTCTCCAGAGCCAATGGGGAAGGTTCATTCCACTTCCAATGGCAATGGCTATACCGTTTTTCTTGGGACCTTACTTTGCAATTGACATGTGTGTGGGAAGTTTGATACTTTTTATCTGGGAAAGAGTAGATGCAGCCAAGGCTGAAGCTTTCGGGACAGCGGTGGCTTCTGGTTTGATATGCGGAGATGGCATTTGGTCTTTGCCAAGCTCAGTGCTCGCTATAGCCGGAGTAAACCCTCCTGTTTGCATGAAGTTTCTCTCTGCTGCAACCAATTCAAAGGTGGACAACTTCCTACAAGGATCCACTTAATACTCAAATAAGTAATGATATCTCAAGCATGTGAAAGTGTAATGATGCTTCAATTTTTCTTCTTTTACCATTATGACGATTTTGAATGTAACTCGTATATAAAGATCTTAGATAATGAAAGGGCTTGTGAATTGTGATTCATGATTGTCAAAACAGTTGCTGTAACCCATTAGGTTAGACGAGAGAAGATGCTAACCTGAGGCAAAATCAAGGCAAAGGAGGGTTTTTTTAAGCCGATTGCGGCGCCGGAGATATGAGCGATTAGCACCGGAAAGAGAAGAAAAATCGATTCTTTCAATTGGGTTTTCGAAGGAATCTTCACATGAGCATTAGAGCATCAGCAGTGGAGCAAGCTGAAGGGTGTTAGAAGTAATAAAAAAAAAGAAAATTGTTTCTCTCCTCACAAACTTTACATTCGGGTGTAACACATACTCTTCCTCTCTCTCTCTCTTTCTTTTTCTCCCTCTTTTCTATCTCTCTTTAAATTATAATAATAAAAAAAAGTTGGGATAATTGGGTGAGAGACATTATTGGGGAACTTATTTAGTTTTCTTGTAATCTGACACAAGGCCTAGGACAACGATAATTTTAGCCACTCTTTTGTCCAATTTTAACCCCACTCGCTTATGCACTGTAGATCAAAGTTTGGCCCATTATGAGAGACAAAGGCAATGAATTTTGGCATTCTCGAGAAACTGTTGCGTGTTATAGCTATCTAATTTTCGCAGTCCGACTTTTGGGTGTCTTCTCTCTTTCCTCTTCATTATTCCGCGCTTGCTACTGTTAACCCTAAGTCCCATAACTCTCTGTTCACATCTGATTTTTCTTTCATCAAACTCTCCCTCCGAAGGAATTAGCATTATCATCTCGGTAAGCCGTCGTCTCTGGGGTTATATTAACCGCCGTTCTCGTCAGAGAACAGAATTCGCGAGTTTAATGGCTTCTCATTTTCTTTCGGTTTTCGATGTTTTATAAACACTGTCAATTATTTTTGTTTTTCCTATTTCCAAACGCCATCATGTTACGCTTTCAGAATAGTCTTTTTTCGATTTTTACCGTTTATGGGTTTCGATCTAGTATAATCATAGATCTCCCTCGGATAAATTAGATCTCTACTTTTCTCGACACCACCTTTACAGATCTATTTAGATCTCTACTTTTCTCGACACCACCTTTACAGATCTATTTTTTCTTTTAGCCTTTCCCGTATACTGCTCTATAATTCCAGATCTAATCCTTTGCTAACAACTTATTACCCATATATCTTTCTGCATGACATGGCTGTTCTGGAACTTCCTTCTCGTTTGTTTGCTGATAGAAAAGAGCCAGTAGGAGACCGAGTGAACTAGTATTTTAAGCTATATGCGATCAAGGTTATCCTCAAGGCTTTGCAACCGTCGGAGCTTGAGCTTATTTGTCCGTGCTTCGGTAAATTACTCGATGTTTACTCCAAACCGTCATTCTCGGGGAAGTTGGCCCATTTCTTGTTAACTCGGCAGCGGAGCGTTGTAGCGTACATATAAGTATACAAATGTAAATAACGCTCTATATATGTGTTTACATATATATAAATGTTAATAAAGCTCTATGTATGTGTTTACATGTACAAAAATGTTAATAACGTTCTCTATATATATATATATATATTGACATGTATACATAGACCGAATTATTTAACACTATAATTATTTTTAACACTCTATGTATGTATTTGTTTATATGTATACAAAATGTCAAAATCATATATAATATTTATTGGTTGTCCATGCAACTAGCTTAGTTGTTTAAAAAATTCGAAGAACTATTTATTAGGTATCCATGCAACTATGTTAGTTGTTTACATTTTTCGATTCCCGTCTAAAACTGCTTTCATTACGGATTCAAAATTCATAAAGCTCAAATAAAGTCATTGCATTTAATAACTGTCACCTCATTGTTTCTATCAACCGTCTGTTTATTCTTCCGAATGCCTTAAAAGTCAAAAACATCTCCACCACGCGCATGCACAAATAAAGTTGTGGCATTTTCGTTATTACTTAGAACTCGAGACCCATTTATCTAATTTATTTATCTTTGTTAAAGACCAAAAATCCATATTGTTGATTAGCTAATTTTATGTCCAGTTTTTGTCTCTGCACAAATTCACCCAAAAAATTTTACACCCACTTTCACACTTTCTCCACTGCCCATGGTCTTAGTGATCAATTTTCGAGAGCTAGGGGTTTCAATTTTCTTGCTTTGCTTAGGCTCCGATTGGTGACAAAAAAAAGAACAGTAGGAACAGGAAAAAAAAAGAATGAAAAGGAACAAAAAGGAAAGGAAAATGATCAATAACCAGGAACCAAAAGGAACATAAGAATTGAACAAATGATTATAGTAAATGGAAACCAAAAAATTGAACAAATATTTAACATAATAATTATTAAAAATTATGTATTTTATTTAGTTTATAAATTTTATTTAAAATTAATGTTTTATTTTAATTGAAAAGAAATATAGTATAAATTCAAATATTTTATTTTAAAATAATATAAATTTCACTTGAAAGCATTTATTTATTTATTTTAGTATAAATACTAATTTAAAACAAAGTCATAAGATTCATTTAAATTAAAGTTTTGATAAAAGTTTTTTTATACATAAATATATAATAAAAATATAGGAATTATTTATGTATAAAAATGTAAATATTATCAAAAAAGCTATTTTAAAATTATTTAAAAATTAAAAACGAATTTTAAATTTTTGTTCCTTGTTGTTCCTCTACAATTTTGGGGAGGAACAATTTTGTTCTAATATTTTTTTTTTTTTGAGGAATGAAGAGGAAAAATGTAGGACCCATATGTCTGAAAATGGAAAAAAATTCCTTATAAATGGTAAAAAAAAATGAGGAACAAAAAAAACATGACATTCCTACTCATTCTTTTCCTCAAAATTGGTTACCAATCGGAGGCTTAGACTCTATGTTGGAATTAAAATAACAAAAATAGAGAGATGATGTGTCGCAGTGACAGATATAAAAGGGTACGAGAAACCGTCATTTCTCATTCTCTCTCTTTTCCTCTCCTTCAAATCCGTTCTTCCTTGAAACCATTTTTTTTTGGTAAAGGTTTGGTTTTTACCAAAACAGAGAAACCATTTTGGCTCTCTGTTTACAAACTTCGTTTGATTTTTCCATTGCCTCTGTTTCCCTATCTCTCTCTCTCTGGTTATCTTTATCAGAATGAACAGGAAGGCCTCTGTTTCCAAGGAGCTCAACGCCAAGCATTCAAAGGTCCCATCTTTTTTTCTCCTCCTTTTCGATTTCACCATTGGTTTTGCGTCTGGAAGGTTGAAAGGTTAGAGATTTGTGTGGTTTATAGATATTGGAAGCACTTTTAAAGCATCCAGACAATCGAGAATGTGCAGATTGTAGATCAAAGTAAGCATCATGATAACATAATCTCTTTCATCATGATCATGTAACACAAATGATAAGAGCATTGTGTTGTTGGATCTATCTATTTCACAGGGCACCAAGATGGGCAAGTGTGAACCTTGGGATATTCATTTGTATGCAATGCTCTGGAATCCATCGTAGCCTCGGTGTCCACATCTCACAGGTCTCTAAATCATGTCTCTTTTGATTGATTTGTGTTGAAAATGAATCATACAAATTAGTGATACTGATTGATTTTAAAAACAGGTAAGGTCTATAACTCTGGATACATGGCTTCCAGATCAGGTTGCTTTCATGAAATGTAAGCTCCTCTTTTGTGTATAATGAACCTATTCAGTAGTTGAATTCATATCAATCCCATAGCTTGATCATCTTATTCTCGGTGTAGCTACCGGTAATGCTAAGGCAAATCAGTATTGGGAATCAGAATTACCTCAACATTTCGAGAGAAGTTCAAGCGACACGTTTATAAGAGCCAAGTATTGATTCTTTTCTATGCTAGAAAGTGTTTGCCTTTGCTGCTTCCTCATCTGCTACAACACAACTTTAGCTTGAATCTTTTTTCCTCTGTTTGTGTGTGTTTTAGATACAGTGAGAAGAGATGGGTTTCACCGGGAGGGATTCAACCGGCTCCTATAGTTAGCCAGCTAAGCTGCAAAGTTAGTCACTTGGTAGAGAGCGGATATAAGCCTGAAACTCCAAAGAAAGCTAGAACTCTTTCACTTGACGAAGAGATCCTTCTTCATCATGTTCTTCAAGTAACACCTCCAGAAACGAGAACTCGTGCGGTATGGTATTTCACGAAGTTCACTTTCTAAATCCAAACAAATGTTTATCTATTTTTGGGTGCCGGTATGATCATTAGATCAGAAATTCATTCAATTTTCCTGGTCTGTCCTGTGGCAAGAATTAACAAAGCTTTTTAAGAAAGATTTGAATCATTTCCATCAACCGTTGTGCAATGCAGGGTTCGGTAGATATGAAGGAGAATGTATATGTTGTACCTCTACCAGTGGGGATGGAATTCAAGAAACCAAACCAAAAGAATGAGATTTTCTCCAGTGAAATAAACCAGAATAGAAGAACCACCATAGCACCACCGTCAAGCTGGGCTACTTTCGACTGTAAGGCCATGATTCAGGCTTTTCCTTTTTATCTTCTTTTAATTTTTAGGTTGTGATTTTAATCTCTAATGTGAAACAGGAAGAGAAGAGACTCTATGAAGAATGAGAAGATGGAGGTTTTGGAAACAAATCATCATGTGGGCTTTAATTATAGTCAACAGGTTGGCAAAGATGGGATGATGAACTCAAAAACTAACAATGGAAGTTGCTTCTGTTTTCTATTTCTTTATTCATTCATAATCCAATTTTGGTTGCTTGTAACTAAATCATTTTTTATACAATGGAAGAGAGACATCTTGAGTATTTGACAAAAAAAAGAAAGCAAAAATACAAGTCACCAATGTGTGATTATTTTGAATTGCTAGACAAGTAACATCAATTGATTGGTCCATAGACCATACCATACTCCATAACAACAGTTATGATTTCAATAGTAGCTTTGTCCGGTTTGGTTAATTCGGCGATATGGGCCTTAGGCCCGAAAGAGAATCTATCACAAACTGGAATGAGGAAGATGAACAGAGCAGTTGTGATGTGAACTGAAGAGTGACGGAGATGGCGGCGAACGCGTGTCTACCTCCGCCGGCGTTAATGGCTGTCCGCGCAGAGGAAGGAGTTCCAAATTCAAAATCGACGCAGGGAAAAACTAGGCTCTATCTCACCAAACCTTCATGGATAGTTAGAACTCAGGTCTGAAACCAAAAACCCCCCAATTTCTACCTCTAGACTCTTGATATCACAAATAAGAACGAGCTTAGCGCTAATGAATTCAATGGTTAACAGTCAGGAGCTAAGACGTGTATGAAGAGGAAGGCGAAAGGCCGGTGCGTAATCTGCCATGGAACTGGAAGAGTCGACTGTTTCAATTGCTGTGGGAAAGGTAAAGAAAATAACTTCTCTCTCTCTTTCATATGTCTCATATGATTGATTGCTATTTTTTTGTGATACATGATTGAAGGGAGGACTAATTGTGTGGATGTGGAAATGCTTCCAAAAGGAGAATGGCCTAAATGGTAAATATTTTGAAGACAAAAGATGTTCTTGAGGCTTGTATCTCTATGTTATTTGATTCAAGAACCAAAGAAGGTTAAAGATTTTTGTTTTGGGTGTTTTGGTCACAGGTGCAAGAGTTGTGGAGGGAGTGGATTAAGTGACTGTTCTCGCTGTCTTGGCACCGGAGAGTACAGATACATTATGGGTTTCCGCTTCTTAAACCAAAACGACGATGGCGATCCACAATTATGATTTGCTGAAACTCTTAATCATGTCCTTGCCAGTTTTTGTATATGTTCAATGATGAGGCTTAAGACTTGTTTAGTAATGTATATGGTTTGCTCCTGACTTGTTGATATTGTCTGCAGTCTTCAAGGTCATTATGTTGCAAGTGAAGAGAAATCGCCACATCTTGTGTCTTTTGAAGCTTACATTGCAAAATGGTTGTATCTTGGCTTTTGTACTTACTAATGGTATATTTGGATTCTTCAAGAGTATTATGCAAAGGTCGAAATTCTTCAGACATTGCTTATTCGTAGGGTTTTGCTGTAACTCTTCAGTCTAGGTTACAGCAAAAACCTAAACTCAAACCGTCGGGTTTTGCTGTAACTCTTCAGTCTAGGTTTTGCTGTAACTCTTCGGTCTACACAGAAGTTTCCACCGTAGGGTTTTGCTGTAACTCTTCAGTCTAGGTTTTTTCCTCGTATTTTTAATGGTCGGGTTGTTTGTTTAGTTAAGAAAGCCCGAGCCCGTAATTGTATCTTTTCCCATGTAAGCTCATCGGTTCCTGATTGGCTCTTCCCAGAAGAGAGTCTCTTCGTGATAACTTAATAAAATGGTGTTTGACGAAAAAATTAAAAAATAAAAAATAAAATTCGGCTTTGAGTGTGTAACGAAGCAAAATGGGCTTGATTTGAGTGTACAATTGTGAAATCCGGTTTAGTCAAACCGGGTTTTAAACATTTTAATTTGATTGTCTCGGTTTATTTTAGTCAGGCGCGCATCTTCTCTTCTTGTGGCTCGATATTCTTATCGTTATGTCTTCCGTCGCTTTGCCGGCGATGAGCTGCCGGAGCTCAGGAGAACAAGTGAATGAGATTCGCGTTTGTACTAATCGCACCTGCCGGAGACAAGGCTCTTTCCAGATTCTCGAGACATTAACGGCTCTCGCACCTCCCGAACTCCGAGTCACTCCCTGCGCTTGCCTCGGCCGATGCGGCTCCGGTCCAAACCTCGTGGCTCTTCCTCAAGGTCTCATCCTCCGTCACTGCGCCACCCCTTCTCGAGCTGCTGAAATTTTGTTCAGCCTCTGTGGTGACGGTCGTGAAGCTTCTTCCTCCTCCGCCGTCACGGACGCTCTCACCGCTTTAGCGCTAACGAACAATGCTCTCTATCAAATCGATGCGGGAAACTTCTCTGAAGCCGAAGCACTTCTCACTCAGGTCTTTAGACTTACATATTTGTCGCAATTTGCTCTAGATTTTTATGGAGCTTGACCATGGATGCGGATGATTGCAGGCTTTAGAGCTGAAACCCTACGGTGGCTTGCATAGAATCTTCAAACACAGGTACGTTGAGGCACTAAATTGATATTTTGGATACTGTTTCTTTAGAGATTGTATGATGTAACTAGATTGTTGGAATTTGGTGATTGCAGATCAGTAGCAAAACTGGGAATGCTTGATTACTCTGGGGCTCTTGAAGATATAAGCCGTGCTCTAGCATTAGCTCCTAACTATTATGAGGTATACTCTGGAATGATACTCTTTTCATTTTGTGAATTTCATGTTTAAAAGCTTATGTTAATCCTATTTTTATGACTTTTATCTACTTACTAGCCATATATATGCCAAGGGGATGTCTACGTAGCAAAGGGTCAATATGATCTTGCAGAGAAGTCATACTTGAAATGTCTAGAGATAGATCCTTCTCTTCGCAGATCGAAACCATTCAAGGTTTGTTTTGTTTCACGTTGTGCCTAACGAAAGATAAGCTTCAATGTTCCTGGCAAGGATGAACGCTTTTGCTTATAATCTCATAATCTGATTCAAATTTTCTGTTCGAGACAAATTCCAAAAATTGTTGGTGTTGTAACTATCCTTGCAGGCCCGGATTGCAAATCTTCAAAAGAAAGTTGTTGAAGTAGATGTGACATAGAAGTATTCTGACACTGAGATTTGTATTGGATTTATACTGAACACTGTTTCGATAAATGTCTCTTTCTTTGGGTAGAAGATTGAGTGTTCCAGAATGGAAAGGTATGTGTATCAAGAGGTAATGACATTGCGCTGTATATATATTATTCAGATGATATTATCCAAGTTAAAGACATTATTTAGGTACTAAAGACTACCCAAACAACAAGCTGCCTATCATTTATAATTATTACGGTACTCAAGGAGCTACATTAATGCTTAGCTTCTGGCCATTTTCACAGTGATCACCCACTGCGCAGATGAACCATAACTCTCCAACTTCTGATATGATTATTGAGTCATTGCCTTTGGTGAAGAGAGATGTGTAGTTGTCTATTCCACAATCTGTGTATGCTGTAGAGTTAACTTGCATAACATTATGCTGGTCACTTTTGTAGTTGAATACTGTTGAAGAAGAGAGACAGATTTAGCAAGGTGAATGCTGGAAACAACTTATCATATTTTCTTACCATTGATATGGAGCAGAAGACTGCTGAAGAAGAGACGGTATATGGGATTACAACATTGGTGCTACTGTATTTTGGAATTCGTAGTACAGGAGTTAGAACATTTACCTAAGACATCACCGACATGAAACTCTCTTCCCTGTGTCCAGTTGGTATAGTTTGTAAAGAGTTCCCAGCCACTGCTGTCACCAACTATATGCTCTGTTCCTTCAGATTTTAGCATGAGAGAAGATAGAGAGAAAATGGCATAGAGTATAATCAAGCTAGAGAATTGGTTTCCCTGATTAAGCATTGTCATCTCTTAACTTATTGTGCTCTCAACTTGTTCGGAAATACAATATATTTATAGAAGTAGCAAGCATTTGTGGGTGGGAAGGTCATGACATTGTTGTGTTTACTAGATAAGTAAGTCATGAAAACCATACATCTGTAAATCGAGGAGTCACAGATTGTTTGCAGGATACAACAAACTGTGCATCAGGGCGATGCACTGAAAAGCATGAAACCTAATAAGGCAATAGAACATACATAGTCATGTATGCATTGTTCTTAGTTTACTAGTACACCAAAGGATTAAGCTAATTAGGCATGTCGAAAGTGCAGCATGAAGGAGCAGCAGCTGATGGGTTAAGGCTGCGCTTTGTAAACAGGTTAATGTTGTTCAGCTTCTTCAACCACTTGAATCCAGTCTTCTCTTCGGTTTTGTTCTCCTTCTTCTTTTTGGTCTTATGCTTATTCAGGCCAAAGCATCCGGATGAGACCTTATCAGAGACAGGCTCTGAGTTCCTGGATGCCTGAAGTGAGTAGATGCGGTTCTGGAGAATGCAGACCTTGTGAAAATGATCATCTCTCATCTTAAGCACACACCTAGCGAGCCCAACAGCCTCATTCTTCATGAACAACGCCTCAGTCGCTAGCTCTCTGTTCTCCTCCAAAAGAGAAGTGAGTTTGTAGCCAAGATTAGCGTTTTCCTCCACAGCCACTTCTTTCTCCATCTCCAGCAACATGACAAACTTCTTCAACAGCTCTATAGTCTTGGAGGCTTCATGAAACTGTTGCTCCTTGTGAAGTAACTCGTGTTTCAGTATCTCTTTGTCCAAGCTTGCTGTCACAAGTTGGGATACCAGCTCCTCAACTTTCTCTGAAACCGCAGCAGAATCTTGCATCTGTTGAAAGGATAAGGTGCTTTCGACTTCGGAACTGATCTCACTAACGGAATCAAGGTCTGAAATGCAGTCATCATCATCTTGGAGAAGCTGGTTGGGAATAGAAGTTGTGGGTTTAAGTCTGGTCTGATGAGAAGAACGACCCAAGAGAGTGATGTAGCCGTTGTACAGGTCAAGACAAAGCTTGAGAAGCAGAGGTCGTCTCTGGTAAAACCATTCAGCTCGTTGACCAAATGTATCATCATCTCCTTGGCTTTCTTCAAAACCAGACTCGCGCAGGATTTGCATCCGAGCTTCAAGGTCTGTTTCCAACATTTTCAGACAAGAAGTGATGAGAGAGAAAGACAAAGAAACAGAGGAGAAAGAGAAAGAAAAAGGGGGGCCCACTGTTTTCTGTAGCAAGCTTTGTTTTTGAAAATTTGAAAATGTGAAAAAGCTCCGAAAAGAGAATTAGAAAATGGAAGAGGAACCGTACCAGAGAGAGATGGCAACTGCGGTGGAGGATGAGTAGCGTCCATGGATGCTTTGTTCTTCATCCTGAAAAATATTATACTTGTTTTAGTTAGTGATTTTTGTAAAGGGAAAATGAGAATAATGCATAGATCAAGACATTGATGGCTTTTCCAAGAAGATAATAAATGGATATTTTTGATCATCGAGATTAGTGAAGGATTGGAGTGGGAAAAAGATACAAACCCAGAAATAGTGAAAGAGAGGGAGAGAAGATAGCTGACACGTTTGTTCAGTTGTATCAGTGCAGAGCATATAACAGGCAAAATCCGCCAAAGCTACAAGCATTTGATTTTGTTCCACTCAGATTTTAACACGTGGCTTAAGTACCTGGGCTTGGAAGTGTCGGCCCATTTTTTGTTGGGCTTAATAAATCAAAGCCGTTACGTTTTTAGATTCTGACAATTTATATCCAGAATAGGCCATAAACTAGTGTCAAATTGTCAATTATTGATCGAAATAATTTAATATAAATAAATAAAAACGTGCGTTTTATAAAGCAGGACCTGGTTAAGTAAAGTAGAGCTATTTTTCTATTTTCACATTCTGTTTATTCTCACTCTTAATTATTTTATTAGTATACGAGAGACAATTGCATTAAAATAAAGCTCAACTGTGTGTTTGGTGAGAAATTGCAAGCTCAGAAATCATTATTCATAGTCTTTGGAAAGATGTCTTGGATAAAGTAACACAAGAGGCAGCTTCTTGAGGTTTTCTCTCTTCAAACCTTTTTGCTTTGATAACTTATTAAAACAAATTCCTTTTCAGCTTTCGTTGATGGGTTCAACACAAGATCTAAAATGTAACATTTCTTTTCTAATTTTATTTTTTCATTTTAACAAATCGAGTTTTCTAATTTTTTTTTGTCATTCTTTTCCTTATAAAACATCCTCCACACTTGCTTGACCGTTGACGCCTTAACGGGCTACATAACCAAACCCAAGTCTCTGTCATCGTCTCCTCCTTTCTTCTTCTTTCTGTCATCATTTTGCTTCTTTTTTCTCCTATAATCCCTCGAATCTTAGGGTTTCTAGAAAAAAAATGGCTTCCTCGACCGAGAACGACGAGTTTCCCATTCTTCCAATTCCAAAAGCAACACCTCGTGCTCACACTAGGGCTTTTACTTCCAGGAACCGTAGTGTTTCTCTCTCAAACCCAACTTTCTCCTTTGACGGATTTGACAGCTCGAGTGTGGTTTTAGGTTACACAGGTCCTCTTCGAACCCAGCGAATAAGACCTCCTTTAGTGCAAATGAGTGGTCCTCTTCACTCTACTCGCAGAACAGAACCTCTCTTCTCTCCTTCTCCTCAAGAACCTCCTGATTCCTCCTCCTCCTCTACCGTTAATGTTCCACCTGAAGATGATTTTGTCTTCCAAAACGCAAATCTCTTGAGATCTGGACAGTTAGGGATGTGCAATGATCCTTACTGCACTACTTGCCCTTCTTACTACAACCGCCAAGCTGCTCAATTTCACACTTCCAGAGTTTCTACCTCTAGGGTATGTATTTCTACTTACCTTGAGACTCAAGTAAACGTTAGATATAGCAGCTGACACAAAGAGTATTTTTCCTTTTTTTTGCTCTTGTTTAGTTTCGCACTGTTCTGTATGATGATGCTAGAGGTTGGGCTAAGCGATTTGCCTCCTCTGTTCGTAGATGCTTACCTGGAATAATGAATCCTCATTCCAAATTCGTTCAAGTCTGGACTAGAGTCTTAGCCTTTTCAAGCTTAGTGGCCATTTTTATAGATCCTCTCTTCTTGTTCCTCTTATTTATCCAACAAGTATGTTTCCTTCTCTTGCTCTATCCATCTCCTTCTTGCAACTGTATACGTTTTCATGAGTTTACTACTGCAGGACAACAAATGCTTAGCGATTGATTGGCGTGCGACTAAAGTATTGGTGTCTCTTAGAAGTATAACGGATCTTGTATTCTACATTAACATTCTACTTCAGGTCTGTCTCCTCTGCTCATATCTTCTATCTAAGGAAATTTATTGGCTTTAACGGTTCTTTGGTCATCATATGTCATGTAGTTTAGGTTGGCCTATGTAGCCCCTGAATCTAGAATAGTTGGTGCCGGCCAGTTAGTTGATCATCCAAGAAAAATTGCTCGCCATTACTTCCAAGGAAAGTTTTTTCTTGATCTGTTCATAGTGTTACCCATTCCACAGGTATTGTAGTAATAACCTTCAAATGTCTCTGAGTTTTATTAACTCGAAGATCTCTTTCAAACGCTAGATTTCTCCTTTTTTATACAGATAATGATATTATGGATAATACCAGCACACTTGGGCACACGCAGGGAAGAATATGAGAAACAGATTATACGCGCTACGGTTCTTTTTCAATACATTCCAAAGTTATATAGACTCTTACCTCTTCTTGCTGGACAAACACCGACCGGCTTCATATTTGAGTCAGCCTGGGCTAATTTTGTTATTAATCTTCTCACCTTCATGCTTGCTGGTCACGCTGTTGGCTCTTGCTGGTATCTTTCTGGTCTGCAGGTATATAAGAAACATTAGTGTCTTTGAAGATTATTTTTATAGCTATGATCAAGTGATTTAAAGATTGTTCTCTTTGATTTGCTCTTTTCAGAGAGTTAAGAAATGCATGCTGAATGCTTGGAATATTTCTGTGGATGAACGTAGAAATCTTATCGATTGTTCGCGTGGAAGTTATGCATCGGAGTCACAAAGAGCTCTCTGGAGAGATGGTGCTAGTGTCAATGCTTGTTTTCAAGAGAGTGGTTTTACTTATGGGATCTATCTGAAGGCAGTGAATCTTACCAATCAATCTAGTTTCTTCACAAGATACAGTTATTCTCTGTTTTGGGGATTCCAAGTAAGTTGGGCTCTATCTAAGTTCATTTATTAGTCTTTGAATCACTCTTTAACTAATGTCGAAATTGTTTTCAATTCTGAAAGCAAATAAGCACACTTGCTGGAAACTTATCCCCAAGTTACTCAGTGGGGGAGGTTTTCTTTACAATGGGTATCATTGGACTAGGGCTTTTGCTTTTTGCGCGGCTTATCGGTAATATGCAGAACTTCCTTCAATCTCTTGATCGGAGGTAAAAGACATTTCAGCAACAATGTTTCAAAAGAAAAGTTCTTAAAAGAGATGGTGGATTTCTTGGCTAATGCATGTTCTGTTTTAGGAGGATGGAAATGATGCTGAGACGGCGTGATGTAGAGCAGTGGATGAGCCACAGACTGTTGCCAGAAGATATAAGAAAGTCTGTGCACTGTGGCATTTTGATTTTCTCAGGCTATGTAATGTGACCTTCAAAACTAATCAACTCAATCATTGTACAACATTTTCAGAAGAGTGCGGGAGGCTGAGCGGTACAATTGGGCTGCGACTAGAGGAGTTAACGAAGAATTTCTATTCGAGAACATGCCTGATGACCTTCAAAGAGATATAAGACGACACCTCTTTAAATTTCTCAAGAAGGTAATAAGCAACAGCCTCATGAGAGCATTAATCAGTATTCTTTTTGTGTACTAGACTCCACAGTGTTGCAAGAAGCTAGTTCTGAATCCAACTGTTAATGTGTTTGCAGGTGAGAATATTTTCGTTGATGGATGAATCAGTTTTAGATTCAATCCGTGAGAGGCTGAAACAGAGGACATACATAAGGAGTAGCACGGTGTTGCACCGCAGAGGTCTAGTAGAAAAAATGGTATTCATAGTGAGAGGTGAGATGGAGAGCATTGGAGAAGACGGTTCTGTTCTTCCTTTATCAGAAGGCGACGTTTGTGGTGAAGAACTTCTCACTTGGTGCCTCGAACGCTCTTCTATAAACCCCGGTACTAATAAGATTTGACTCTTAAGTGTTCATAAGTCTTAATGTTTTGGGTTAGAAACTCGAAACATAAATCTTTTTAGAAGAAACTTGATTAAGAAAAAGCATGAAACTTGCAGATGGGACTAAGATAAAGATGCCAACAAAGGGATTAGTTAGCAACAGAAATGTTAGGTGTGTGACAAACGTGGAAGCGTTTTCGCTGAGTGTAGCAGATCTTGAAGATGTAACAAGCTTGTTTTCAAGATTCTTAAGGAGTCATCGAGTGCAAGGAGCTATAAGGTACGAGTCTCCTTATTGGAGACTACAAGCAGCGATGCAGATTCAAGTGGCTTGGAGATACCGAAAGAGACGACTTCAGAGATTTTACACTGCTCAGTCTAGTTCCAACAATTAGATTGGATGATAAATTGATGATATTTGGTTTACGTATAAAGCTTAGTGGCTGTTAAATATACATCTTTTTGCTGTTTTTCCAATCATACTATAATTTCACTTCAGGTCCCTTGGCGGTTTATCGTTAACCAATGAAAAAATTACATTAACAGTGAAACCCATTCGAGTTAAAAAGTTGAAACCACGTAGCTTGAGTACTTGGGCTTATAATTTCGGCCCATTATTTTATATTGTCTTAACTCTTCCGCCTTGGTAATGAATGATTTTGCCTTTTTGTACATTCTTTTTAGTTACTCAAAGAAGTAAGATAAAGAAAGAGAAGCAATCATATATTTAATGACACTTTACCTCCAATTAAGTGACAAGATTTTCTTTGGTAATCCAATTAAGTGACAAGTTGACGAGTTTTACAAAACCGTGAATATTCAAAAGGAAAATAAATAACATCATTTATTTCCCTAAATATTTTCCACTATTTAATTGGTAAGATTCATTTCCATAAATAAAATACACAGAGGAGAGAGAGAGAAGCCTGCCTACACGGACAATGAAATAAACAATGTAATAAAAGTCCGTGTTTGACTTTTCCAGACATGAGTTTTAATTTACAATAATACACTTCCTTGACTTGGGCTACGAAGAAGAAGACCCCTGACTTGGTCATCTTCTCCTTTCATATTTCTCTCTTCTTCTTCTTATCAAAATTACTAAAACTCTCTGCTTCAAACTTCCTTCTCCGCCTCAGATTTCCCCCTTATCCCCTAGATTCTCTGTTTCTGGGGTGTTTTCTTTCTTCTTGAAACCTTGATTTTGGTCAAGAAATGGCTTCCCACAACGAAAACGATGATATTCCCATGCTTCCAATTTCAGACCCATCATCTCGTACTAGAGCCAGAGCTTTCACTTCCAGGAGTCGTAGCGTTTCTCTCTCAAACCCTACTTCCTCCATTGAAGGATTTGACAATTCCACTGTGGTTTTAGGCTACACGGGTCCTCTTCGAACTCAGAGACGTCCTCCTTTAGTTCAAATGAGTGGTCCTCTTACCTCTACTCGCAAACCTGAACCTCTCTTTCTTCCTCATCCTTCTTCTGGTTCTTCTGATTCCGTTGGTGTCTCTTCTCAGCCTGAGAGGTATCCTTCTTTTGCTGCTCTTGAACATAAAAAATCCTCAGACGATGAGTTCGTTTTGAAACACGCAAATCTCTTGAGGTCTGGACAATTAGGGATGTGTAATGATCCTTACTGTACTACTTGCCCTTCTTACTACAACCGTAAAGCTGCTCAAATCCCTACTTCTAGAGTTTCTGCCCTTTTTGATTCCACGGTAAAGTTTGATTCTTTTCTACTTCACATTCACAAAAATAGCTTCAGGCTCAAGTAAATGTTGTTGAAACAGAGACTTTTTTTTTTTCTTGCTAGTTCCATAATGCTCTGTATGATGATGCTAAAGGTTGGGCAAGGAGATTTGCTTCCTCTGTTAATAGATACTTACCTGGAATCATGAATCCTCATGCCAAAGAGGTTCAAACCTGGACTAAATTCTTCGCCCTTTCATGCTTGTTAGCTATTTTTATAGATCCTCTCTTCTTCTTCCTCATAAAAGTCCAAGAGGTATGCTTTTCCTTCAGAGATATCTCTCTCTATCTTTTGCTTCTTAAAGTGTTGTTTATCTTGCCTTTTAACCACCTTTTTTGACCATCTTTATTTTCTCACTGTAGCAAAACAAATGCATTATGATTGATTGGCCGATGACTAAAGCATTTGTAGCTGTTAGAAGTGTAACAGATGTTATATTCACTATGAACATTCTACTTCAGGTGTTTTTCCTTTGCTTACATTTCTCCATCTCTTTTTAAAAAAAAATATGTTGGCTTTAATGCTCACTTCTTCCATATTTGTTACAGTTCCGATTGGCCTACGTAGCTCGTGAGTCTACGGTAGTTGGTGCTGGCCAGTTAGTTAGTCATCCCAAAAAAATTGCCCTTCATTACTTTAGAGGAAAGTTTTTCCTTGACTTGTTCATAGTGATGCCACTTCCACAGGTATTATAATGTTAGAGCTACTACTGGTTTTAGGTAATGGTAATCGGAAGATGTTCATTTATTTTTTCATGTTTTGTTTTGTTTACAGATATTGATTTTATGGATAATACCAAAACATTTGGGTGCATCCGGGGCAAACTATGCGAAAAACCTTCTACGAGCTGCAGTTCTTTTCCAATACATTCCGAAGTTATATAGACTTCTACCATTTCTTGCTGGACAAACACCTACCGGATTCATATTTGAGTCAGCTTGGGCTAATTTTGTTATTAATCTTCTCACTTTCATGCTTGCTGGACATGTTGTTGGCTCTTGCTGGTACCTTTTCGGTCTGCAGGTATGTTAAAGTCTCAAAACTTATAATGTCCTTTCTTATTGTTGGCCTGATCAGCAGAAGATACATATATTTAAAGTGATTTATATTGATTCTTCTCATTGTCTGTTTCCCTTTTTCTTTTTGTCTCTTTCAGAGAGTTAATCAATGCCTTCGAAATGCTTGCGGTAATTTTGAGCGTGAATGTCAAGATCTTATAGATTGTGGTAATGGAAATAGCACTGTGTTAGTACGAGCAACCTGGAGAGATAATGCGAGTGCCAACGCTTGTTTCCAAGAAGATGGTTTTCCTTATGGAATCTATTTAAAAGCAGTCAATCTAACCAATCATTCTAGTCTCTTCACAAGATACAGTTACTCTCTCTTCTGGGGTTTTCAGCAAATAAGCACTCTTGCTGGAAACCAAGTCCCAAGCTACTTTCTAGGGGAGGTCTTCTTTACTATGGGTATCATTGGACTAGGGCTTTTGCTTTTTGCGCTTCTTATTGGTAATATGCAAAATTTCCTTCAAGCTCTTGGTAAAAGGTAAACAATTCAATCATTGTACAAAAATAGATATTTCAAGACATAATGGTTGGTTTTATAATCACTAAGTACTCTGGTGATTGTGATTTGTCCATATTAGGAATTTGGAAATGACGCTAAGACGGCGTGATGTGGAGCAATGGATGAGCCATAGACGGTTGCCAGATGGTATAAGAAAGTATGTGGACTATGCCTAAAAAACATTTGCCTTCTCCTTTGATTATTCTTTTTCTTAAGAGTCACATTGGTCTCAGTTTCAGTATTTTCACTATAAAACTAACTGAATAATGGTTCAACATTTTCAGGAGGGTGCGAGAGGCAGAGCGGTTCAACTGGGCTGCTACTAGAGGCGTTAACGAAGAATTGCTGTTTGAGAACATGCCTGAAGATCTCCAAAGAGATATAAGACGACACCTCTTTAAATTTCTCAAGAAGGTAAAGACATGTGAAACTTCTGTGTGCATAGATCCCAATTCCATATTGTTGCAAAGAGCTACTTCTGGAATCTAGCTGTACAGTAACTGGTGCTGAAACCGAAGTAATACTTAGAGACCACAGATTAAACATTGCTGAGAATATTATTGAAATGTGAATGGGTTTGCAGGTGAGAATATTTTCGTTGATGGATGAACCAATCTTAGATGCAATCCGTGAGAGGCTGAAACAGAGGACATACATAGGGAGTAGCACAGTGTTGCACCGCGGAGGTCTAGTTGAGAAAATGGTATTCATAGTGAGAGGTGAGATGGAGAGCATTGGAGAAGACGGTTCTGTTCTTCCTTTATATGAAGGCGATGTTTGTGGTGAAGAACTCCTCACTTGGTGCCTCGAACGCTCTTCTGTAAACCCCGGTACCATCCCTTTTGACTCTTATGTGTTCATAAATCTCAAACTTTTTTGTTCCTTAGATGACAGTTCATTAAGGAAAATCTTGGAACTGAATATGTGTTGAAATCTTCAGATGGGACGAGGATAAGGATGCCATCAAAGGGATTGCTTAGCAACAGAAATGTTAGGTGTGTGACAAATGTGGAGGCATTTTCGCTGAGTGTGGCAGATCTTGAAGACGTAACAAGCTTGTTCTCGAGATTCTTGAGGAGTCATAGAGTCCAAGGAGCCATAAGGTACGACTCTCCATATTGGAGGCTACGAGCTGCTAGGCAGATTCAAGTGGCGTGGAGATATCGTAGGAGACGGCTTCAGAGATTATGTACTCCTCAGTCTAGTTACAGCCTTTAGTTTGTATTCCTCATTTTTGATGAATTGATGATTTATATGTAATTTGGTGATTGTGACATAAGTGGTGTTACTGTTATATTATTATATGTTAATAGTAATAAACCATATTATTTTTATGAATTTGTATAAACCATAAAAATATATGAATTTTTATAAACCATAAATTATATGAATTTGTATTAAAAACTTACTTTCTTTATTTCAGAATTTATGGCTATTGTTGAAAACCACCTATATATATATATATATATATATATATTTATTTATTTATTTTGACAAATTTTCCTATATATTTATCGGGAAAAATGTCATTTAATAGCTGCCCAACTTTCAAATTGTGGCCATTTGCCACACCAACTTCATAAATGGCCAATTTAAACATGACAAATACGTTGACTTCCATTTAGCACATTACAAAATCGTTGACCACGCCAAAACACCAAGCCGTTAACAGATCCGCTAACACCCGTTAACACCTCCGTTAATGCCCAAAACGGCGTCGTTTAGAGATTAATCGAAACTTCTAAAAGCTGAAGAATCCCCAATTCTGAGAAATCCCCAATTCAATTTCAAACCCTAAAATTTTCAATTCTCATCAATTCTTAGCATTATCTTCCTTTTGAGCTCGAAATCTTGTTTTTTTCATCGAATTCTCCAATTCTACCAGAGATATGAGTTGCAATTCGTGTGTTCAAGATGGAGGTTGCGAGTTCCGCGGGTTTCCTTCAAAGTGTCACTGCGGCTTAGACGTTGTCATTCTCACATCGAAGACGAAGCAGAACCCAGGGAGACCGTTCTTCCGTTGTCCAACCTTGAATGATGTAAGTAGATTTGATTTAGTGTTTTTTTGGTTTGGTCGGTAATGCATTTTCAACGTGATCGCAGGGCCATTTGTTTAAATGGGTTGAAGATTGTGTCTACGAAGAGGTTGTAGACGCTAAGCCGAAAATCTCCAGCATTGACAATGAAATAAACAATGCCAAATGTGAGGTTTCAATCGAGATTGCAGAGTTAAAGTGTATGATCAATGAATTGAAGGAAGATGGAACGTGGAGCAAAAGAGAAATTAAGAGAATCAAATTGTGGTTGGTCTGCATTTGTTTAACTGTTACTGCAATTGTGATCTTACTGTTGTTTGGTCTCAAAAACCAGAATCTTGTTTTAGGTTACTAGTTTCTTTGTTGTTTGGTATGAGTTTTAGTTGTTTGGTATGAGTTTTAGTTGTTTGTGTCTTTAGTGTTGTGTCTTGCTTTAATGTAATGCTATTATGGCTTTGTGATCCTTGTGAGTTGTGCTTTTGGTAATGGAAATACAAATTTGTCTTCTGTTGATCAATAAGAGTTATGTCAGAAAGACCAACAACCATTCATACAACTAAACAAAAAGAACAATACAAGAACAATACAAGTCGTAGAAAAACCAAACAACAACAAGTTAGGTTCAAACAGACCAAAATACTCCGATAGAAAGGTTTTGTTCAGAAACAAAATAACTTCAGAAAATCTTTATCAAGTGGAACACTGAAACCATGATGCAAATCTACCAAATCCTTGTCCTTCTGGTTGTGCTTCTGGTTGAATTTGTGAATCTGCTCCATGCGTTTGATGAGCTTGTGCACCGTGTGATCGATGCCATGATGTAGCTTGTGATCCTTGTGATCCAAAATGAGGTTGTGATCCTTGTTGAGAGCCAAGATGAGCTTGTGATCCTTGCCCTTGTCCTTGTGAGCCAAGATGAGGTTGTGATCCTTGTGATCCAAAATGAGGTTGTGATCCTTGTTGAGAGCCAAGATGAGCTTGTGATCCTTGCCCTTGTCCTTGTGAGCCAAGATGAGGTTGTGATCCTTGTGAGCCTTGCACTTGCTCTTGTGATCCAGGATGAGCTTGACTAGAAAATGTTGCAAGCACTTATGGCGCCTACCAAAAATTAGAATAAATTCAGTGAGTTGTCACATGAAACAGTGAGTTGTAAAACAGAAAACACATGAATTCAGTGAGTTATAAAACATAAAAAGCTTAAAACCATACCGGCCTTTTTCTTGGTCTTCCTCTTGGTCTAGGTAGTGGATTCAAGACTGTTGCATTTTTGCATCCTTGCCTGTTATGCCCTTCTTGCAGGCAGTTAGAGCATGTCATGATTCTCTTTGCCCGTGACATCTTGTTCTTATTAGAAGAAGAAGCAGTCTCATTTCTTCCCTTTCTCCTAGCATGATTATTAGGCCTTTCTCTGTTGCCTCTTCTCCATGGTGGTGGCAAGACATGCAACCTATTTGTTCTAGGCCACAATGGCATCCCTTGGACAGGCCTAATACCATCCCTATATGTTTCTCGCCACATTACCTTTGTATAATACTCGCTGACATAGTCTTCAACTTTCTCTCTTTTTCCTATTATCACAGATGCCGCATGAATACAAGGGATCCCCACCATCTGCCACTTCCTGCAACCACAAGTTTTCTTCTCCATATCTACAAAGTAACTAACACCATTCACTTCTATTTGATGCAAATTGTTTCTGGCCATATATCTCTCACAATTTCCAACCCCAGCTATCATTTTCTCAATCTCAAGATGGGCTCTCTTTGTGAACCTTGTCTTCAATCTGTCAGCAATGATATACCTCTTTGCAGTTCTCACCATGCATTGCCTCCGGATGTCTTCTAGCAAATCCAACAAAGGCTTTCTCCTAGCCTGTCTAATAGTCCTATTAAAAGACTCACTGAGATTATTGAGGCTGTCATTGCAGCATGTCAAAATATTTATTTATTTTGACAAATTTTCCTATATATTTATCGGGAAAAATGTCATTTAATAGCCCAACTTTCAAATTGTGGCCATTTGCCACACCAACTTCATAAATGGCCAATTTAAACATGACAAATACGTTGACTTCCATTTAGCACATTACAAAATCGTTGACCACGCCAAAACACCAAGCCGTTAACAGATCCGCTAACACCCGTTAACACCCGTTAACACCTCCGTTAATGCCCAAAACGGCGTCGTTTAGAGATTAATCGAAACTTCTAAAAGCTGAAGAATCCCCAATTCTGAGAAATCCCCAATTCAATTTCAAACCCTAAAATTTTCAATTCTCATCAATTCTTAGCATTATCTTCCTTTTGAGCTCGAAATCTTGTTTTTTTCATCGAATTCTCCAATTCTACCAGAGATATGAGTTGCAATTCGTGTGTTCAAGATGGAGGTTGCGAGTTCCGCGGGTTTCCTTCAAAGTGTCACTGCGGCTTAGACGTTGTCATTCTCACATCGAAGACGAAGCAGAACCCAGGGAGACCGTTCTTCCGTTGTCCAACCTTGAATGATGTAAGTAGATTTGATTTAGTGTTTTTTTGGTTTGGTCGGTAATGCATTTTCAACGTGATCGCAGGGCCATTTGTTTAAATGGGTTGAAGATTGTGTCTACGAAGAGGTTGTAGACGCTAAGCCGAAAATCTCCAGCATTGACAATGAAATAAACAATGCCAAATGTGAGGTTTCAATCGAGATTGCAGAGTTAAAGTGTATGATCAATGAATTGAAGGAAGATGGAACGTGGAGCAAAAGAGAAATTAAGAGAATCAAATTGTGGTTGGTCTGCATT